CTCAGGGCGGCCAAGGTCTGCTACACCAAACCTCCCTAAGGTGGATCCATCTCTTCTCCTCTCCATCTGTTATTTTATGACCGAGCAGCCCCTCCTGACTATGCTGCTCCGAATCCTCTTCCTCCTCGCCGCCGGGATTGAGGCCCACCCGGTGGGGTTCCGGATCCAACAAGGGCTACTTGCCTGCCTGCCACCCGAGACTGCAACTGAGAGTTCTGTACACAATAAACCTCTCATTCTGGTGACCCTTGCCTTTTACCTTCTACCTGAGGATTTCGCCCTGATGATTGTAGTGATATAGGCACAACTATGGCTTAGATCCCTGCAAATTGGTGACCCCGACGTGATCTACACACGCCGCAACATTCTGATGTGGCTGACAACTTCTTCATGGAATTTCCAACTCGACTTCACCGTAATGTTTTCCCTGCGTCACTCATCGTGCCAATGGATAGGGAAACGCGGTTGCCGACACTCTGTCGCGAATAAAGATTGATATTTTCAACAATTCTGCAATGGATCTCGAGACATCAGGCGAAACACGGTATTTTCCCAGCGATCGAGTCGTCTTCTTCTCACTTAAGTAAGGCGCTGATTTAGAAAATGGAATGCTCACCAGGATGAATTACCGTCTCCACTTTAGGGTGTTTTTTGGGGAGGGTGGCAAGAGTGAGGGCGGAACGCATGTGCATCTGCATGCGGATGGCCAGGGTCCGAACTCCTCGAAGACAGAGATAACAGTCGAAGACAGAGGGCACGGCACCCGCCGCAAATAAGATGAATTGAAGTGCACGAACCAAGTCTGGCAATCCCTTACGTACAGCAACTGCGCCCATCACAACATCACTGTGACCTGAAAAAAATGTCGGCTGAATTCAGTGTAACAGGAGCCACTGCGATTGCATATAAAGTAGTATTCTTGCCAGCATTGTTTCTTTTCTGATGCCGTCATTATTTCAGTTAGCATGCATGTCAGTTAAAATAAACACTTGACAATCATGAGCTGGGGAGATAACTCGCTTTTCGTTCGCTCGAAAGGGATTTAGTCGATCTGAAAAATGATGAATAAATTTCTGAGAGTGCTAAAGGTTACTAAAATATTACAACATCTAAAGTCACTGTATATAATTTATGCAGCTCTCAACCTAAATAAACGAAGAAAGAGAGAATTGAAACACGAAACTGTTAGCTGTGAAATGTGCAAACAAAGCGTAACTGAATGCAACGTGTAACCTGAAAGGAATAACTGGAGTAATTCGTAAATAAATTGTGCATTACGCAAGCAGCAAACTCAGATGCCAGGGAGCAGGCAAAATGCTCTGCTGGTTCCACATCCAGCAACCACCTGGCGGAAAGTATAATTGATTTTGATAACGTACAAGAACAGGTAACGTGAACTACGTCACTTCCCAAAGAAGCAAAATGCAGATTTTTTTCACTGATAAGGTATATTAGTGTAATGTTCTGACGGTAACGAGCAATATCAACTAAGTCAAAGTGATTATAAAGCCGATCAAAACTTTTGACAGAGTAAATAAAACAGAGGATGATCATTCCGTTAATATATTTTGTGAGAGAGTTCAGTGAGAGATCGGCGCCGAGTTCCAGGGGTCGCTTCACACCAAGAAAGATGGTTAAGGAAGAGGTTTAATTGGATTAAGAGTTGAGATTATGAGCGATTCACAAGACTTACTTGATAATATGGTGTGATAAGTGTGTTGTCAACTACCACAATAATGTTTTTGTCGTAATTATGCGCCACTCTCGAAATTTCAGCAATGTCGACAAGACGCATGAGAGGGTTTGAAGGGGTCTCTAGGACAACCATCTTTGTTTTCGGTGTGAGAGCCGCTTCAAACAGGTTTGGATCACGCATATCGACAAAATCGAAAATCACACCATGCTTTGATGATATTTTGCGGAAGAAACGACCAGTTCCTAAAGTAGAATAATGTAGATGCAACTACTTGAGATATCTCACCTCCATATAGGTCATCGAAAGCCACTACGTGATCACCGGATGATAGCAGTTGTGTAACTGCACCTAAAGCAGCCAAGCCAGAAGCAAATGTAAGGGCTGTATAACCGCCTTCTATTGCCGCAAGACAATTTTCAAGAACATGTCGTGAATAATTCCCCGACCTGGAGTAGTCGTACTGAAAAAGTAATATAAATAAAAGTCGGTTTACTTTTCCAGCGGCCGGCGCCAGTTGCTCGAAGGTATTGGATGGAGTAATTGGGGGAATAACGGGATTGCCTAAGACTGAAAGGTCCGTTGGCGTGTGGCCGGTATGCGTAACTATAGTCAATATTATATTAATATAATAGAAGACTGGGAGTGGTAGGCGGCTACAAGAAATCCGATAAAACGTAAATGGCATAACAAAGGAGGAAACATTGCAACTGGAACAGAAGCTGGCCTAAGCGAGACCGGGATACAGACTTTCATAAAAATAAGTCCCATGCGATCTGTATGAATGTGTTTTTTGCACTCTTAGCAATAAAACCGTTATTTTGAATGATATTATTATCACTTGAGTTGAAAAAAAATGTTGGTCAGAATACCTTTCAAATCAAGACAAAAAGTGACAACGGACCAGTAACAAATTGCTGCCTGCCAATTTCCTCTTGAAGAATCAAGAAACATTTAAATGTGTCTGCAACTAAATTCGAAATACCTCTTAATTTAATGCCTAATGTGCTGAATACACTGTGGCAAAAGGCATTTTCGCCAAGTCATTTTGGACTATGGACTTTACAAATGGTATCGCTCCCCTCTCCGTTGATTTTAAAGAGGATATCTTCCAAAATGATCATACATTAATTCACTGTTGCCTTCCTCTTTTTTCCGCAAAAAAGGCTAGCGCCGTTCGTACCTATCATGTATATGGCCTCGCAGATATTAGCCTAGTCAATAATCTTCTTGACTCATTGGATTGGCAGAGTTTATCATCCACGAACGAAGTTGCATGTCTTTCTGAATTCATGCTGGTCGTTTCTAATAAAATGCTGGAATTTGTGCCTATTTAAATTGCAAATCCTAACGGATCAGAATCGACCATCCCTCCCTTCATTTTGCCAAGACTTGAAACATTGCGGAGGCAGTTGAAAGATCGATCTACTAGTTCGTTGTCTGTGCATCTAAAGATCGCAGTGATTTGCTTATCACCATCCAAGATTCGTTCTGCACGGGACAAACAGAGGGAACCTTGCGCATTCAGCGAGCTAAACTCTGCAAAATCGGTTGCCTAACTGTTCCGTCCTCGCTCCGCTGCTAAACGGGGTCATGACATCCCCCTTTTGTGGAATGAAGGCAAACAATTTGTGCTCGATGAGTCTGACAAGGATGAATAGTTTAATGCATTCTATGCAAAGCATCTTTCGACGGAATCCGAACCGGTCCCATCGTTTCAGCCATGCTTATTCAGTATTATCAATATCAATAATATCAATATTATGCAATGATTTTCCGTAGGATCAATTCGTAAGCACATTGCTCGTCCAAAAACGTCACACTGTTCGGGAACTGACGGTATTCCAAAATCAGTACTCAAGAGGGAGTCGAGCTTCCCCGATTGCATAGTCATCTATTATCAAACTATCTTCTAAACGGTTTCGTTCCCGTGTCATGGAAAACAACTATTATTCTTCCAGTCTTCAAGCCAGAATCTCGTTCTGACGTAAATAATTACCGAGGCGTTCATTAAAACCCGGCCCTAGCCAAACTTTTGGAAAAGATCATTTTTAATCAAATTCTCGATTCTTACCTAGATAATAAGCTTTTAAGGTACTCGCAGCATGGTTTTCTACCTAGACGGTCATACGAAACGTGTCACTTTTCTTAACCTCGTCATTTCTATTCGTAATGAGCAGCAATCAATGGTTGTGACCTACTTTGACCTAAGCAAAGCTTTCAACGGGGTACCGCCCAGACGTCCTCTGGTAAAACTGGATGCCATCTGCGTCCGTCTTTCTCTCCTCGACTTCATTTTTACCTACTTGTGAAACTGCAACCAGAAGGTCTTAGTAGATAAGAGTTAGTTAACGGCTCAGCTGATTACGAGTGGCGTTTTTCGAGGAACAGTTTTTTGTCCTCTACTTTTAATTCTATACATCAATTAAATTTCAACAGTCCTTAACAATTCACACAATCTCATCTACGCAGACGACCTTAAGTGCATATACTCATTTTCTAAGGACACTGTCAATAAATAAATTGAAAAATAAAAGCAGACCTGCTTACACTGTCACGTTGGAGTGCTATCTGGCAGATGGAATTTTCACCGTCCAAGCGTAGTTTCCTGTGCTTTGGCCCTGCCAAGCTTTTTGGTCCCCTGGTCTTCCAAAATACTGCACTGTTAGAACGATTCACCATAAAGGACTTAGGTCTAAGTTACACAAATAAACTAGCATTATCGCTATTTCATCCCTTGCTTTCTCCGACTATATTCAGCAGTCACGCGTACGCAAAAACCAATGATAACAACTATCAAGGTGGTACGGTAATATTAAGAGAAATAGTACACAAT